ATTTCTTTTCATTACTCTACATTACTCCAGGATAGTTATGTTCTTGAACCCATAAAATGTGATACATTGTCTAAGAAGAGACACTTTAAAGTCTCCACCTTTCTTTCCTGTTTATTCTCCTCACACGCAACAGCAATCCCTAGTCATCTTCCTTCTAAATTATCCTCAAACTCCTCCCGCAGCTTTGGTTCTCTCATATATTCCCCTTCCTCCTTCACTTGATTTGCGTAATCAAAGAACTGATCAGCCAAAGGCAGAACCTTTCGAGGAGGGCAGCGGAGGGAAAGAAACTAACAACACCCCCTTTAGCTCCAGGTGGAAGGGAAAGGCTGGGGACACTCTATGTTGATAATACATGCTTCGTCTCTTTGCAGAACCCAAATACTCTCAGACACTCCAGGAAAACCTCCTTAATGACCCACTGCTGCCTCTCTCATCATTAACTGATCACTCTCCCTTCCTTTTTTTTTTTTTTTTTTACTACCTCTGTACCTTTAACATGTTTATGTTATTGCACTGCTGATAATATATTGAAATTTATTTTTTTTAAGTCTGTTTCTGCCAAAGTATGTGAACTTCTTGAAATCAGGGACTCTATATTCTTAGTGCCTAGTATAGTGATGGGCACACAATACCTTCTCAGGTACTGTTTGTAAGAAAGTGTTATCTCCACAGCTTATTCCCAATGTGTCAGTTCCTTTGAGTCTTGTTTCTTTAGAATATATATGATAATTGGAAATGTGTTATGCTAACTTTTAGAGAGGCAGGCATATAGTAGTTGCTCAATAAATATTTATTGATTGAAAGAATGAATTTATACTATTTGAGCTTGCAGATAATTAACCTCTGCAAATAGACTTTAAGGCCCTAAGTAGAACTCATTGCAGATTTCTGAATACAGAATGTACCCAATACTGATTTCTTAATTAATTATATAATTAAGTAGTCAAATTCAGGCAAAATTTGCTTTTGGCAATTTTAATGTTTCACACAGAAAATGAGTTAACATTCCTTCATTTTTTTCACACAAAAAATAGGAAGGACAATTAGACCACACGTATATGGCAGCTCTGTTCCTTTGATGCTGCCAAATAAAGACTATACTTCAGTCACAAAAATGAAGAGTGAGGAAGAGCATAGCAAGCAGAGGGAAAAACAAGGGGAAGGCTTTGAAACAGGAGGAGCTTGGAAAGGTCAGACAAGAGAAAGGATAATTTAGTGTTTCCCAGACAATAGTGAGGGTTTGCTGGATGGGTTAATCTGTGTAGGATCTTTTAGGCTATGATCAGGATTTCAACTTTATCCTAAAGTTTCGTGGGAAGTCATTGAACCTTCAGCAGGGTGTGAGTCACCAAGCTGGATCCACCAGACCCAAGAAGTAGGAGGATTAGATTTTGTGGGGAAGACTGGATTAAACTCATGAATTGGGAGTTCATGAGTGGGAGGGTGCTGAGATGGTTTGGAAAGGTCTAATATACTCAGAGGCTAAGCCTTTGGCAAAGAGATTCCGGTTCATTCTTGTAAACATTTCCTACTCCACTTTTATTCTGCAGCCTTCCAAACATATGCACTGAGATAGGAGTAACTGAAAAATGTATATGTATGAATTCTGACTTGAAGTCCTATGACAGCATCTTATCAGCATCAGCATATAAAGATTGGCTAATTTGTAAATCCTGTAAAACCTACACCCAGATGCGTAGGAATAGCAGAGTTAAATATGCACTAATTATATTTACACAGTGAAAACATATTGAAATAGACACTGAAACGCCGAAACTAGCTGGTTAGTATATAGCCAATCATAGCAAGAAAGTGAACAGCAAAACCACTAGAAGAGCCGATTACAGAAAGGGAGTTCCTTACTATAGAGTATAGGAACCCTGAGCTTTCATGGTCTGATAGCACTTTCTCCTACTACAGTGGTTCATACTATGCCTCTGCTCTTCTAACCCCTGGCTGAAGACTCTGGGCCTCTCACTGAGAGCCCTGGAATTGGATAGCCACCATGAATGAAAGGTCATCCATAGTTTTACAGTGACTAATGGATCATTTGGGCACTTACCAAGAGTTTAAAGTACTAGGAACTTTTACTCCTGCTTCAAGAGGAGTATGTGTGGTGTATATATTAACAGGAATGTTAATTCTAGATATATTGAATAATACTACACTGGGTAGTTTTTTGTAATGTTCAATAATCCTATAAGTTATTTGGAAAGGCTACCTCTGGTCAGTTTCCATGTGCCACCTTGAAACCAATTCACTGTAGGTGTTAGACACCCTATAGCTTTGATAGCAATCTACCCAAACTCTGTATCAGCTGGATTTCCCCAATGCTCATTAGTTTCTGACAAAGGCTGCCAAAATCTCAGTTTCTACATCTGCTCTGTTAAATCTTCAACTCCAAAACCCATCTTTCATTTTCAATGGGAGTAATTTGGAAGATGGGATTTAGTATATTATTTTTTTTTTCCTTCTCAGCTAACTGTGAAGGGATAAAACTATTCTATCTATAAAAGGATAGTTTGAATATAAGAATGTGTCTTTCCACTAAGTCTTAGTTCTATTTATGTGACATAAATGAACCAAGTGTTGATTTTTATTTACAAAATGCACGTGTATTTAATGTGTTTTAATTAATTAGCAGGTCCTATTCAGACGTAATAGTTCCCACAGGCTTTTTCAGGAGAAAAACCTAAACAAGAAAGAGTTTCTTCATCTTGTTTATCCAGTATTCTGCTTATCTATTTTTAGCAGATTCCTCTTTACTTTTCCCCAATGGACGGGATCAAGGAGCTGAAACTACATTATAATGAATCTCTTCAATCAGCCCGCTCTTTCTTACCTGCAAAAAGGATAACAAAATATCAAGCTGCCAAGAGCCACGAAGCCTATTTTCTATGTAGAATAATGAATCCTTGGGACAGAGGCTCTGAATGTTCCCTTCAATAGCTAAACGAAACTAATTAAGCTAGTTGGTAAAGTAGGTACATATTTTATTTTTAATTTTACATTTCCTCAATGCTTTTCAAAGTTCAGTAAATAGAAATAAGCTCCCAGAAACCAGTCTACTATATCTCACAAAGTAAAACTAAAATACTAGTGAATATAATCTTAAGTAACACTGTAAAATCTTCACCATGAGTTGAATGAATCGTGATACTGTGCAGTCAGTAGAGTGGGGGTGGGCTGTAGAGGTTATGGGGGTAGGGGCAACTTCAACTCATAAAGATGAGTTCCAATCCCTCTCCAGCTCCTTATGTTTCCAACTGCAATTTAGAAATCAACGTTAAAAAAGAAAAAAACCCAGAATACTTAATAACTATTGTAGTTATTAAAACAATCTCATATCACTCTATAAAGTATTATCTAAAATCCAAATCTTTACAACATTCCAATAAATTTCATTAGATTACAGCTATATCTATATATTATTTACAATTTAAAGTTATGATGTTGAGACCAAAATCTATTTCTTAATGAGAGAAAAGGAAGACAAAACATGTTCACGCTACTATTTCTATTTAATTTTTAATTGCTAGAACCCATAAAAATGAGTTAACTGATTTTTAGTTTTTCATGGATTGATCTGACAGCAGAAAATGATTAATGGGCCCATTCCTGGACATGATTATACCAGTGAACTTAGTGGACCTTCTGCCACTATAAAATTAATGGCACCAAATAAACTCCCTTTGAGATAGAGCAGGAATCAAGTAGAGAGACATTGGGTTTGAAGTTGATGAGATGTACTGCTGAGCCCTTGGTCCTGGAACTCATGAATATATATCAGGATTATGGTTCAGAGGAAAGCTACTGTGATGGGAGCTTATTTTTGAAAGTGGACAAAATGAGTGCTCAGAAAAAAATAATAATTCTATTCTTGAGAATCTACACTGTGGGAAGACAGTCTTCTGTTGCAAATCCTACAGAAATAATTTTACACAATTTGTTACTAATAAGGAAATAGAGAATACTTGACAATTTGTGTAGGTTTTGGAGATGTAAAAGGCTAGTCACTTTTTAATGCTAGCAATAGTTTTTTCTTACTTGCCATGAATTTTTAATGATCACACATATTAAAAAAATCAAGTGTTGATATCTAAAAATATGAATGATAATTAGAAACTGCACTCCAGTATAGTTTCATGTTTCTAGAAAGACAAGTATAATTTGACAGCATGTTATCAGACTCTTTACTCTATATAGATAATATTTTTAACTGTTTTATTTTACAATAATTGCCAGTAACTGTTAAAACACATTTTCAGTACTATTAATAGTGATTTAAGATACATTTTATTAAGATTTAGAATGTGTTCTTATCATAGACATATTTATTCATGTGTACTGCTTAGTGCTTAAGTGTACCCCTGTACTGCTTACTAGTTGGTAAAGACTTTAGATAAATGGAGAAAACCAATTTAATTCTAAACGTGAAATCTCAAAATTTCATAGTTGAAATTTTGTTTTTCCAAGATATTATTTATTTAACAAATATGCAATAAATGCATAATAAATATATACTAGACATAAATACATATTAAATGTTAGTTTAATAAATATATACTAAATAAATATTTAGGCAGTATATGTCATTATGTGTCATTTAACAATTGGGACATGTTCTGAGAAATGCCTCGTTAGACGATTTCATCATTGTGCTAATGTCATGGAGTGTACTGAAGGGGAACAAATTTTGCCACTCCAAAATGTGTTTCTTTAACATGAAGATTGTTTTAGGCTGATTATTTTTAAGAAACAAAAGACTCAGAAAGCTTGTCTTGTTACCTGCCACTTAACTGCCCAGAAAATCTCAGGTTAAAAAAAAAAAAACAACCTGTCTCAGGAAGCAAGCTATCACCTTAGCATAACATGAATGAGGTGGTAGTTAGAGAGGAACCAAGAAAAGCCTGTTGATTGGGCTCCCCTCTGTGTTCTTCTGTTTCTATGTGGCCAAACAAACTCTTGTTTCCCAATGTTTGCTCCTTTTCACCTACCTGTGAATTGCCTTCCATCCCTTTGGAGTCCCTGACTTTCTCCATCACCATCTTCTTTTGTCTTTAGCTGAGGATGATATTTAAGGTGAGGGTTTCAGCCATTTTGGCAAGTTACCTGGTTTTCCTGGGTTTCTCCCCTGTATACTTGTTATTAAACTTTCATTTGTTTTTCTCCTGTTAATCTGTCTCATGTCAATTTAATTCTTAGACCAGCCAGAAGAGCCTAGAAGCGTAGAAGAAAATGTCTTCCTCCCCTACATTACTTACACAAACCTAGATGGTACAGGCTACTACACACTTAGGCTATATAGTATTAATCTTTTCTTTTTTTAAAAAAAGATTGGCCCTGAGCTAACATCTGTTGCCAACCTTTTTCTTTCTTTCTTTCTTCCTCTCCCCAAAGCCCCAAGTACGTAGTTGTATATCCTAGTTGTAGATCCTTCTGCTTATGCTATGTGGGACGCCTGCCTCAGCGTGGCTTGATGAGTGGTGCCAGGTCTGCGCCCAGCATCCAAACTGGCAAAATCCTGAGCCACTGAAGCAGAGCATGCGAACTTAACCTCTCGGCCATGGGGCCAGCCCCTATATGGTATTAATCTTATGGGACCACTGTCATATATGTGATCTGTCATTGATTGAAATGTTGTTATGCAGTACATGACTGTATAGCCACTTATATCCAACATTGTACTGGAGGACCCATCCAGTGAATAAAATGAAAAGAAACTAATGTCAAGGGGTTAGAAAAAAAAAAGATGGCATGGTTGTATAAGAAGACAAGACAAAGGAATCGATAGAAAAATTATTAGATTAATAAGTGAATTTAGCAGGATCTCTGGACCTGAAGTCAACATCTAAAAAAGTTTATATTTCTATATAACATTGCAATGAATTTGAAAAGATGGTCACCAACTATATATGTGTGTATGTGTGTGTGTGTGACGTATATGTGACATGTACAAGAATTTTGTTATGGGTTGAATTATGTCCCATAAAAAAGAAATGTTGAACTTCTGATGAGACAGGAACCAGCTGCTGACCCAACAAGATAAGGCCCCTAATCAATCGACAAGCTAGGAGAATCAGATAGAGGCCACCAAGATACACATTCCACAGCCTCTGGACTTTCTTGTGCTTATGCATGGACCCTAGTACCCAGGAGTCTACTGACCAGGTGACCCTAGCCCCACTGGCATAGTAAAAATCACACCCAGGGGTGGAGAGCTAGCATGCTAATGATATATGCAATGCATGTGGTGGCATGTTGAACAACAGTGCAGGCGCAAGCACAACCCCACCTCTACATGCCAGGACAAGGCACTCCTCTCCAACCTTTGCCTAATAAAAGCTCCACAATCCCGGTCCCTAATGAGCCAGTCACCTGCCCCTTTCCTTTCTGCACCAGCTCCCTTGTGCCTCCCTTGTGCACAAGCTAATAAACTTTTACTTTTCTACTCCCATTTGTTGTCTGTCTTGATTTCCACCATGGGGGACAATAAGAACCCAATGTTCCAGTAACACTAACCCTTAACACTTCAGAATGTGACTTTATTTGGAAATAGGGTCTTTACACAGGTAATCAAGTTAAAGTGAGATCATTAGGGTTGGCCTGATCCAAGATGACTGGTGTTCTTATAAAAAGGGGAAATTTGGGGGCCAGCCCCATGGCAAAGAGGTTAAGTTCACGTGCTCCGCTTCAGGGGCCCAGGTTTCGCAGGTTCGGATCCTGGGCATGGACATGGCACTGCTCACCAGGCCATGCTGAGGTGACGTCCCACATGGCACAACTAGAGGCACTCCCAACTAGAATATACAACTATGTACTGGGGGGCTTTGGGGAGAAGAATAAAGGAAAAAAACAAGAGAAATTTGGACACAGAGACAGACATGCACAGAAGGAAGATGATGTGAATATACACAGGGAGAAGAGGACCATGTGACTGGAGTGGTGCATCCACAAGCCAAAGAACACAAACGATTGCCCACAAACGACGAGGAGGTAGGAAAAGGCAAGGAAAGATTCCCTTATAGTTTTCAGCGGGAGCATGGCTCTACCATAGCCTTCAGAACTGTGTGATAAACAAATTTCTGTTTTAAGCCCCCTACTTTTTGTTACTTTGTTAAAGTAGCCCCAGGAAACTAATGCAATTCATATCAACATTATTTGTTGTATCTGAAATGTTTAAACATCTTAAAGAAACAGAAGAACACACAGGGGAGTCCAACAAACAGGCTTTTCTAAGTTCCTCCCTAACTACTACCTAGTTCATGTTGTGCTAAGGTGATAGCTCACTTCCTGAGACAGATGTTTTTATCTGAATTCTTGTAGGCAGTTAAGATGGAGGTAATGAAGGCAAACTTTCTGTCTTTTGTTGCTTAAAAATAATCATCCTAATATAATCCTCATGTTAAAGAGACCCATTTTAAGGTGGCAAATTTTTTTCCCCTGTAGTATACTTTATGATGCTTGCACACTGACGAAATCGCCTCATGACACATTTCTCAGAACATATCCCTGTCATTAAGTGATGCATGACTGTAGTGGTATCCTTGCCGTGTTCCTGATCTTATGGGGTAAATACTACCCATTTTGTCATTAAGCATAATGTCAGAAATACTTTGTCAGATTGAGAAAATCTTTTCTATTACTAGTTTAACAGTTTTAATTTTTATTAAACAGAAATGTTGAATTTTATCAAATTCCTTTTCTCTATTTATTGAGATGAACATCTCATTTCTTGTTTATTTTATAAATGTGTAAATTTTATTTTGTAAATCTTGTAAAGGTTAATTTTTGAATCTTGCATCATGGGAATAAACCCAACTTGATCACTATGCATTATCCTTTTTGCATATCGTGGAATTTGATTTGCTAATATTTTGGGTAAGATTTTTGCTTTTATGTTATGAGAAAGAGTAGTATGTAATTATCTTTTCTTGTAAGTCCTTGTCAGATTTTGATTAGATGTGATTAAAAAACCATTTTATAATCCATTCTCAAAAGTAATTTATATTGAAAATTGTTTATCATAGACCTAAAGGCATAAAATTTTTTTCTATAATATTACTGTCCTTCAGATAGTGAAAATCAGTAGTCCATAGAATTTTCCCAAGATTGGCATTATTCCAGAAAGATTTACGCTTCCACGATTTCATGGCCCTGGAGTCTCCCAGGGAACAATAATAATCTGTCCCTTTCTACCCTCTTACTATGCTTTATACTTTTTCCAAGCACTTATCACCAACTAACATATTATATGTGTATTTGTTTGGATGATTATTGTCTATTTTCCTCCACTGGAATAGAAGGTACATGAAGTAGGGCCTTTGGTTTACCCCAATGCCTTATACATCTGGGGCATACTAGACACTTAATATATATTTTTTGAATAAATACATTAATCTCATACTGTATCCTCTAGATTGTATATATGCACGTATGTTGTACCAAGTTTATAAAGTGTGTGGTTATTATCTGTTTACTTGATTGCTTTTTTCCAGTTGTGGAAAACAAATATTTCTGACAAACAAAATACAAACGCTACACAAATGGCATTTCGAGGTAAAAACCAATTTATTAATCTCTTCATTATCTTTACCATGGAATGGCCTTCTGCTCTCATCCTCTACAAGGAACACAACTCTGCCTGGCATATGTCATCATGTCAGAGCACTGGCTGACAGGACAAAGCAAAGGACCACCAGCCGACAGTTTATAACATTGAGTTCACAAACAGGTGGGAATAATAATTCAAAGAAATAAGGCAATCTTTTGAGAATCTGAATGTGACATATTTGTTCTTTACTGTTTGCTCTCCTAAGGAATACATTAACTCAACTTGGTTGCTGAGGACTATTTATGAGTTATCAAAAGCAAGGCCTGAGGGTGGCCCTACATTAAGTAATAAGCCAAGGGAATACCTGGGTTTCTGTACTTTTCTTTTTACTTTTTCCTAGGAGAACGAAGAATAGTTATAGATTAGCTTAGAGGAAGATGCTTGATACTAATGAGGCCCTGAGTGGGTGAGGCAGCTTTGCCCTTTTCCTTGCTAAGCATGCCTCCCTTCCCTTCAAATCTGCCTTCTCATCTCCAGAATGTGAATGTGTCCTCTTCATGTTGGTCACTAGATTGACTAAAGGGAAGTGGAGATGAATTTGCATCCAACCAAAGGCCTACTGCTACTGCATAATGGCACCAGTTTTGTAATATAAAAGAACATGATAGTAGTTAATAATTATACAAATAAGGTACAAAGATGACTGAGACCAAGTTAGCAGCTTTTTAAAATTTTCAAGACCATCCTGCTTAAAATATTAATAAATAACATACATATTTCTTAATATATGCTGAATATCTCCATATTTGATTATCAAATTTAGTGTTTTCTTTTTTGATATTTTAGTGTCTTATTTCTTTTCTTAAAAAAAACCCCACAACTCCCTAGACATACAAATGAAACGAGGCCATAAGTCACACTGCCTTTGAGGAATTCACTGAAATATTTCAGTCTGACTGGGAGCGATGGGCTTGCATTTTTAGGAGGGTGAGGCTCTCTGAAGACAGCACGCTGAGGAGTGACTGGGAGCAAGGTGCTATCTTGCCTTGAAGCAAAACCTGTGACTGACTTAGAAACAGCAGACGCTTTCTGCAGGCAATGTCATTGAGCTTTTCTTTCACAAAGGTCATTGTGAGAAAGGCCCTTGGAGATGAAAAGAAATAACCTTATTGAAAGGAGGGAGAAAAAAAAAATCTAGTGACATCTTCATTAAGTTGTCCACTGTCCCTTTAGGTGATAGGAAGTTATTTTTGTTTTATCACTTGGCACTATTCTGTTTTACAGTTTAATCTCAATTACTGGACAATGTTTTAGATAATTAAAAATAATGTATATTTGCTTTTTGGAGTTCTGTTTGAAATACATTTGAATACACACATCTTTGATCCTGTTATGAACACTTTAAGCCATATTAAAAACACACATTCAAATAAGTTGAATGGACTGATGTTTTTCTCTTACATACCTTCCTCTTTCTTAATACTTAAATATTTTTAAACATTTTCCTCTT